ACACATGTCAAGCTCAGACACTGAATTACCCCCTCACTAGCGACAAGATATATGGTGAGTGGAGCCTGAATTGCCAATAACAAGCCTTGATAGTTACCTCCATGAAGACAGTGACAAGTTTCTCTTAACAAGGCTGACAAAAAGCATGGTCTATCCAAGGCCAAGACTTAACTAAGAGTAAAATAGTACGATTAGCATAACGCTTGAAACGGGCCCAAACATGATTAATCAGTTGTATGATCCAAAAAGAAAATTAATTAACCACAAAGAAAACCCAATTACTTAATGAAATAAATAAATAAAATTAATATGATAAGTAGATGCTACCCAAAAACTGAATGAATGAACACAAAACAACCATTTCATTCCATTACTAACAAAAAATATTCTTTTGTACAAGGCAACTGATAAAACATTAGAAGAGGCCCTGACACTACCCTTCGTATTAGATTCAGTAAAATAGTGTTGATCTGCCTGCACAACATCCATTGTTGATAGCACAGGAAGTCTCTTTATGAGAAACTTAATGGGTTTTGTTGAATCGGAGGGGGTCGGCAGGAAGCAACACAAAAATGTGGTCCCTCAAAAGAGGCACAAACTCTTGGACAATTGGACGATGCACCAAAAATGAGATAGGAGGAGGAAGAGTGAGCAAAAGAATCCATGGGTGGCTGGAGGGGTAGCTGGAAGTAGAAGGAAACGACAAACCAAAATGATAGAGTAAAATCCTCATGATCAAAACATCTATTTTTATAGAGGGACAGAAAGGCGAAAGATGCCAAAAACTTACAAAGGCAAAAATAGAAAATACAAATAACCAAAACCTAAGTATTATAACAAGCATCACATTGTGAGAAGGGGCACAAAAATCAAAACATCATAATGCCACAGTTAAAAAAAACTTTTTATAATTATTAACAAACATTACATTAGTCGGATTGAAGGAAAAACATTAGGCAAGAGTCAGACATGACCTCAGTCGGGAAACAACCAAGGCGGGTAAGTCTTCTTAAAACAAACTCTCTGTCAGACCTAAACTAACTTAAATACCTCGAGTCTACTTATGCTTGGAGGACCAAGCAGTTTTCTTTTAGCTTCATATGCTCACGTTGTAAAAGGGCCTTTGATTGCTTCTAAAGTCCAACTTCTCATTCCATACTTGCCAATCAGGCAATCAAGCCATACAATCGAGCATCTTGGTTGACGTTGCACTATACGCGA